CGTACCGTCTTGTCGTGGGAGGCCGAGAAGAGGAACCCGTTGAACGCACACAGAGACGACACCGCACCCTGATAGATAGACAGAGTGAGTGATACACAGACAGACAGACAGATTGGCTGGCATGGACAGATTGGCATGTCTGTCTGTCTGTCTGTTTAGTTTAATTCTCTGTGTGTGTGTCTGACGGTGTGTCCCTGCAGGTCGCCCTTGTGCCGCAGGTTGTAGTCCCATACCTGCAATGCCATGGCATTGATTGGGTATGTTCGTTCGGTTGAGTGAGTCAAGTCAGAGAGAGACACATTGTCTCTCCACTCGACTCACTCACCTTCACGGTAGTGTCCTTGGAACCCGAGAAGAGCAGCCGCTCGGCAGGCGCTGCGACCAGGCTCTGCAGACAGGACCCATATCCACACATACATGGAAAACACCACGCAAAGCGGTGGTGGTGGTGGTGTGTGTGTGAGAGTATACGTACGAAGATCCAGTCGTCGTGTGCGTGCAGCATGTGCGAGGACGCCTGCAGGTCAGCCGTCTCCCACGACTGCAGACCAGACAGACAGACAGACAGATGCGCACATTTCTCTCCCCCGTCCCTCTCTCTCTTTCTCTCTCTCTCTCTCTGTGTGTGTGTGTGTGTGTGAGTGCCTTGATAGATTTGTCTCTGCTGGCGGAGAAGAACCTCTGCCCCTCATCGATGACCGCAAAGGCCGTCACGCTGTCGTAGTGGGGCGGGTGGAGCGTACGCACACTGCCCCAGGAGCTAGTCGTCCACACCTGCACACACACACACACACACACGGAGAGAGGGAGAGAGAGAGAGAGAGAGGGTGTAAACCAGTGTGTGTGTGTGGGCGGCTCACGCGGTCAAGTGAGGAGGTGAAATTTTCTCGACTACGGTATATTGGTCCATAGTTCATGCGCACCAAGCCCACAAAGGTCTTGGTTCCTGTCTATCAGTCGCATGTCGGCCTACAGGGGGCCGTCAAGAGTCATCCTACGGTCAAAAATGGCAAAATGGTGACATTTTTCTGCGCCTGCGTAGCGGTGTGAGTTTTGCTGACCTGCCCCTCTCCTTGTGCACGTGTTTTGCCAGCTGAAGGGTGCACCTGACTCATGCGTCGGATGGGCCGGGCCGTACACACAGATGGTGTGGCGTGCCTGCAGAGATGACACTCACACATAGAGAAAAGTTCCGCTGCGCGTCAGAAAAGTTCCGCTCGACGGCTGTGTGTGCCCTGTGCGGTCAATCTGGATGCCCTGGTCAATCAATCTGCCGCCCCGAAATCGCCTGCACACGCACTGGTCGCTACGCTGCAGATGGGTCGCAACACCCCCCACACACTTGGGTGTCTGTGAGCCCACCCAAACGCACCGAGCGCAGGGGCCAGCTGCAGCATAGCAAAGCCCTCATCGAGAGCAGGCCTCTGGCGCCCGAATGAGCCTCCGATGCATCCACCTCCCACACACACTGGGCGGCCACCTGCGCATCCACACACAATTACGGCCCTACGAAACGAAGAAGACCATTCCAGGAGACCGTCTGTTAACGAATAGTGACCTTTTCGTAATGAAGTCGATGGTAAGTCTGTTGTGGGGCACCAGGACGGAGGCACTCCCCTTGGCGCAATGCGGCCATCTTTGACACAGACAGACACAAAGGAACGTCAGCAGCAGAGATTTCACCTTCTGGCTGCTCCTGGCTGCGCGTGTGGCCTTCCTGTGAGCCTCTCTGTGGAGATCTGATCTGCCTGCGCGGTTTGTCCAACGTGCCTTTCCTCCCAGCGCTTCTAAGCTCGCAAACCCTGCACCCTAAACCCTAATTACGCTGTGTAGGGTTTGCGAATTTCGTGAAGGCGCGTGTGCAGGAGTGCCCAGCAGACAGACAGGCACCTTCCCACACACGGATGTGCGCAGGGGTGGGCTGTGTGTGCAGAGAGGGAGGGAGGGAGGGGGCGTGCACTGCGCATGTGCCCCTCTCTCTCTCGCTCTCTCTGTGTGTGTGTGTGTGTGGCAGCTGGATGCACTCAGACAACAGGCAGACAGACAGACAGACAGACAGACAGACAGAGCGCACAGCGTCTGCCCGGACCACACACACCAGTGATTCAATCAGCCAGCACATTCGTAGGTGCGCTGGATGTCTGCCGCACGCACTGCCACATACTCACACACACATCCACATGCATCCACCAGTCACTCCTCCATTCTATCTACTCTCCGTCGCCAGCCGCGGCCCCCCCACCCCCAGGCCCCCTCTCTCCCCCTTCCTCCCCATCCGCCCCTCCATGCAGCTGTGCCTCCGCCCCGCT